TAGATAGATAGATCGACAGATAGATGATACGTAGGTAAATGCACAGCCCAACCCATACACGTAGGTAGCGGTGTATCCGCACAAGTCAATGTGCACACGCAAGCATCGCATTATGACATAGCCTGCTTCCAGCAGTCCCTGCTTAGGGCTGGCTTTCGCAAGTTTTTGTTAATCACGACATGCTTTCATTTTATTTTTGTTCGCAGGTACAGTGGCTATGTCGATGCGGTCGTGCAGCGATGGGTTCTGGTAGTCGACGAGTACCTTCAGTGCCCCCGGGACCCCTGACTTCAGAGACCAGGCAGTCTTTCCAGTAGCTGCGCGTTGCATGTTGCAACTCGAGGGGGTGAAAAAGCTTGAAGCATTCGCCCCCTTTTTTCCGCGGGAACCGCGCGCGGGGAGACCCCTCCCGACACTAAAGCCTATTCCGACCTCTCTAAATCTTTACAATTTTTTTTTTGTAGGATTGATTTTAAGTTTCTCTTTTTCTTTTCAAAACTTTCAAGCCGGGCGCCATGGGGACACCCCCTGGACCCCCGGTTGAGAAAAACTCAACGACTCGAAAGTTTTATGACTACTGGCGTTTTCGTTCGCGGAAGTGGCGAACTGGTATTCCAGAAGGACTTTTTCAGCCACAGCACCAGGGTCGAGACAAGCGCACGACACACGACGACGTCTGGTGCTACAGAGGAACGTCGAGGAATGTCGAGGAAGTTCGATCACTGAAATCCCCGACCAGAGCTCTCAACATGTGGGACTTCGAATGCATCGGTTGAGCCTGCAGGACTTCGTCCTGGTGCGTTACGAGGAAAAGCAAGGTTGAGCAAGTCGGTGGTTGCTTTGTGCTGGTTTTGCAGCTTTTGAGACAAGGATCGAAGGCTTGTCAGTACGGTCTTTACTTTGAACCTGCTGCCTTCTGAGAGGACTTCTCATCCGACCCTGTCCAAGAGACGTCGGGTGCTAAGCAATGCTGCAGTTTTCACTGACCCAACACCGGTGCAAAGTGAAGTGAAACTCCAGCTGCTCGCAGGCGAAATCTCCTACATGCGCTGGGGTTCGCTCACCTCTGGGGGCAGGGAGCGGAGGAGAGGATTCCAGTCTAAGTCAAAGGGTTTTGCTTCGTAGCTCAGGCAACGAGCACCTGAAGCGTTCTATTCCAGCTCGGGGGGCTGCTCTAAGGTTTGCCAGGGCGGCGTTAGCGTTATCTGGCACCTCATCCATGCAGGAGCGGGTCCATCAAGTGGCAGAGGCCAAAACCGGTAGCTGGAGAATAGGCGTAGATCTGCGTGATTCGAGGTGCAATACCAGACAAAGGGCCAGCACGGCAGAAACCCCGAAGAGGTTGGGGTTTGGAGCTAGAATCTTGGTCGTTGCGTTGGGTTGCAAGCCTGCAGGTGTTTGGCCCTCGGATGTTTGGAGCCCAGTTCGGAAAGAAGGGCAGCATGCAACCGAGTTGTACGAGTATTGCCACTTGCATCCCAGACCCAGGCTCGCCCGCCTGGTCGTTGCAGTCGCCGTCTCGATCGTTTTGCACGGAATAGCCATGGACCGCGGGAGAGAAAAGCACTGGTACGGTCGCCTTTATGTGGCGGAAACCTTCCTTCTTGGCTCAGGTCCAGACCCGGGCAGAGCTTTTGGGATACGGGTCGCTGCTGCCAGCCGTCAAGGCAAGTCCATCTTTGCAGCGTTGATGCAGCTGGAGCGTGTAGAGGATTGCTACTAAGAGGAGCACGTAGTGACCACGCAAGGCCGTGCCCGAAGATTGGCCGGCGATTGATGTGCCACCCACACCTGTGGTGGGAAGCGCATGCTGAACGAAAAAGGGAATGCGGACATTTGGGCACTCGATGCCACAGACGTGGAAAGCATTCCAAGCTCTGGTTAAGTGAAGGCCGTCGTTGTTGGCAGCAGACTCCAGTCTACGACACTGCTGCACGCAGGTCTTCGAACTGCATGCCGAAGAGCTCTGGGGCCCCGGGAAGCAGATACCAGCGTTCGAGGCGCACACCTGAATATGTGACATGCGTATGGCGTATGGACGGACGTATGAGCGTTGCATGCCTGCATGTAGGCAGGTAGGCGGTCGGTCGGTTGGTCGGCCGGTCGATAGGTCCGGTTGTCAGGATGGTAGGTCGGCAGATAGTTATAGTAGGTAGGTAGGTAGGTCGGCAGATAGTTATAGTAGGTAGGTAGGTAGGTAGGTAGGTAGGTAGGTAGGTAGGTAGGTAGGTAGGTAGGTAGGTAGGTAGGCAGGCACATAGGTGGGGATGTACGAACATAAAGTTAGCATTGGCCATTTCCATTTTCTTATCTAGCACGTGGTTGCTTGGACAGTCGCAGCGGCAAGCAGTCACCACATCCAGTAGCCAGAAAAAGACATGCCGCTGCCGTGAGCTGCTGCGCCTGTTCCATCTTCAAGCCCAACCTCCCTACCCTAAACCTTAAAATTTCGGAGAAGACCATTTCCATTTTCAGGGTTGAAAGGTTTGGGGTTGGAGGGCTGGGGGATTTTTTTTGGGGGTGCGAGCGGTGGCGTTTGGGTTGGCCTAGGGTGGTGTTCTAGTGGTGTTTGCAGTGGTTCTACTGAGGCGGGATTTTCTAAGTTGGGGTCCTCCAATGGAGTTGTGGTTGGTCATAGGAAAAATGTTGAGAGGCCAGAAATATAATGTAGCTATAATCCTTAAGATGCTCCAGATTATAACTTCACTGTTGTTTCATACCTTATCCCTAAACCTTATTAAAAATATAGATAAATTATTAGAGAATACCATTTCCATTTTCTAGGGTTAGGGATTTCGGGTTGGGAATATGGTTTTTTCTGTGGGGGTATTGGTGTATGGGGTTCAAGTTCAGATTGGGGTCTTTCTATGGGGCTATTGGTATTTGCTTAGTATGGGTTTTTCTCATGTGGGTATTTTGGTGGGGTTGGGGTTGAGGCATAGGTTGTTATGGTTTGGGGTTTAGGGGAGGTTGCATGATTAGAAAATGGCAGTGGTATATGCTACCTCATAATACAGGGGTATGCATGCCTACATACATACATTCATACATACATACATTGGAGGCCAGGGAGTTGTGGACGTGTTTGGAACCTTGCTGTTGGTCTCCTATCATGTGGCGACTTGCAATCACGTGACGGAAAAACAGCTTGGCTGGTCTGCATATTTGTACGTATGACTTCCCCGAGGCTTCTTGCAGCCTCCTGGGTGCCCGCTCTTGCCGTGACAGGTGGTGAAGGCGCCTGCGCCACCCCCTGCACCGGAACCTGAGGAGACAAAGCGTCCTGAGCTCAGTCCTCCAAGCCTCGAAGGGGGATCAACGGCGCATGGGGGTGCCAAGGGCCAGCTCCGCTGCCCCCCGACATCACTTCGCTTAGGCCAGGACAAGCGGCCATAACTAGGCTTCACAGATACGAAGCTGCGAGCTACGCAGCACTCGAAGCAGCTTAGAGTTGTAGGTTGCCGTTGACTCATTCGTGTTCTGTCGTGCACTGCGCAGGTTTCGTGCTGGTGACTGGAAGCCGGGACAGCCAGGTGGAGGCGGAGGCTGTCTTTACGAAGTTGCAGTTGCTTGCTGCAGCTGCCGACGCCTGTGACAGGAGGCAAGCAGCCACCGCTGACAACAACTGGTCGGGAGCTCGAGCCGGAGCAGAAACATGGGCAAGTGGAAAGCTTGCACTGGTCGAAGCCATGATTCACAAACTCAAACAAGCGGAGTCGTAGCCGTAGTATTGGTGGGAACTCGAAGGTCAAGTGGAACTCGCCGAGATAGAGCGTCTTAGCGTGTTTGTCAGTGAAGAGGCTTCAGGACTCCGGGCTGTTTCGAATCCTGTGCTCACTCTTCAACCGAACCCTGACAAGTTTGCGACATGACAGTGACGCATTAATGTTCGCATGATATGGCGTTCTACAGCACAGCAGTCTCCCGACTACGTTTTGGTTATTGACAGCGAGACTACTCGTGCTGCACACGTGCTTTCGGCTAGAGTTTCCAGCGCTGCGAAAGCAAGCTGAAGCCGGTGAAGATTCGCCCAGGTGTTGCTCCCTGGGCGTTCAAGGGAGGTGCCAGGGTCCCGAGTCCCGGATGTTTCGACTAAACTTTTCCAGAGCTTGTCCGGTCCTTGCATCGAGGCTGGCTCCAAGCAGCCTCCGGTAACCGTCACAGGGGTGGCCCCGTGGGCGTTCAAGAAGGCATCTTCCAGTGCATCGTGTCGTCCATGTGCAACCGCTGTCAGAAGGACGCAGCGCCGCCCCCGCCACCACCAAAGCTGAACAGTTTGGAGGAGACTCCCGAGGCCCCAACGCTTCTTTTGTAGCGGGATCATTCGTTCAGGGGGTGCATCTAGGCTATGCATTGTGATGCAGCTATGCAGTCCTTGCAGGAAGATGAAGAGCAGAAGCCGGTATCTGGATTGGATCGAGTGCACAAGCCCTGGCCTTAATGGTGGGCTGGGAGCTCCCTTATCCACAGCTGTGCAATGCAGCCGGATCATTCGCGCAGCACATCTCTGCCGTTGCGAAGGTACATGAAGCTCCTGCTGCCTGCAGCAGCCGCCGAAGGTCCCACCAGTTGGGAGGCGAGACACTCTCATTCCCCGGAATATGCGAAGAAGAGTGATGCCTGCCAGGCAGCATTAATGGAGGAAGCTCCGACGCTCCTGCCTACGCTGAAGCGACTGTCCCAGCTTTTGCTTCCGTGACCTCGTTTCACCGCTTGTCACCTTTGGGTTTCTGGACTTTTCTCCAACGCTCCTGGTCTCCTCCACCTCGTCCTCCAAATAAGCCACCTGTGCCACACGGGATCCGACCCCACGAGAGCCTTTGTCAGATGCAACACCTTCCCACGTCAAACTGCCTCATTACCCTGTTTCGACCAACATGTTCCACAACCCGACAAGTGTGGCTGATCTTCTCCATTAGCATATGCCGATGCCGGCATTGGTGTGTGCGCTTTGCATCGGTACAACGAAGACACCGGATGTCTGAAGGTAGCAGGGTCCTTGTCATCACACATGTCAGAACATTCGTGAGCGAGCCTTCCCGGTAGTCCTCCTCGTCTACTTCAACCCCTTGCAACGGTCGTTTCAATCGTCATCATATTGAATATAATATATTGAATACATGCAGATGTATACACATACACATTCAGGTGTGTGTGTGTATATATATATATATATGTGTATCCATATATACATGTACATATACGTATATATATATATATATCTATGATATACTGCTTCAGTTGATTCCGCAACTGATGGTGAACTATCCAACAGGAGACAGCCCATGGTTGCTGTACGCAACCTGAGCTCCTACGGAGGCTTCAGGGAGTCGGATTTCTCGCGGAGTGCGGACTCACAGCATGGGTAGGGAGGGACAAAAGTTAGAAGGACGGCAAAGCGCTTGAGCCAAAATGGCTTTGCGTCATAGACAAAGGCCAAGCTGACCATGTAAGGACGCATGCTACACACACAGACACACACACACGCACATATATATATATATACACATATATATATATATACATATATATATATGTATACATACATATATATATATATATACATATGTGTGCCAGTCATTCGACTTGTGTGACCATCAAGAAGAGTTTGATTGGACAGAAGAGCTGTGGCTGTTCCAAGATTCCACAACCTGGTGTACGGTGCAGAAGACATAGGCAAGGCCCTCAGCGGGGCCATGATGCCTAGGCCTGGGCTCTAAGCGCTTCTTCAGGGGATCCACTGAGGTCAGGGAGCTTTCAGCGTGGTGCGATACGCACGCGCCATTCAGCAGGCCGGCTCAAAGGGCATGGAAATTGGGCTTAATGGTCTATGTCGATGGCTTGAGACATGGCCATGACGATGGTCAGCATCGCTGTCGTCATGTTCGGGGTTGTTTGCATTTGAGGTTCCTCCTGTAGTAGAGAGCTTTCATTCCATACCCCCTGTCCTTTTGCAACTGCCTTAGAGTTGGGACGACCCCATGGCGCGAATCGTTTTCAGGTTTCCACAAGTTTAGAGCCGAAGTTTAAGTTGTTGTATTCCATGGGCGTGTGTTAGCTGCATTTCTGCGTTCCGGCTTGAGGGGCGTGCATCTGCGAGAGGCTTGAAGACCCTTGCGCGCACAAAAGCAAAATAAGATGCATAAGCCAGCGTATTGCGCACATGCATGCGCACAGTTGCACATCATGCACAGCACAGTCCTGGTGTACATGCATTTGCAGCAGCATACATATGTCATGGCATGACATGACATACCGTCGTACAAGCAACGTACTTTCTACTTGCCCACCCACCCACCCACCGACCGACC